TCATCTTTGCTTGATGCAAATACGTATATATGTTAACAAATACGTATATATGTTAAAAGTAGTTCTTTATTTCAATTAATTAAGACACTTTTCTTGCTACCACTTTCCTAAATTGTATTATTTATGTAACTATTAACACTTTGGGGACGGCTGTCCACCTCAGTGGACAAACATACTCTGTGAGGCACAGGCTATTTTATAAACAATGACTCATGTTTGCATCGAAAAGTTGAATAAATTACATACAGCAGTGATAAACAATATAGTTTTTTGAAAATAATTTTAAGTTATTTTAGTAGTATTTTTAGCCTTTTTCTTTGCTATGTGGTCTTTTTTAATATTTAAAACGACCGAGCGCTTTTAAATATGGCAAAACGACTGGTAAATTTTGTGAATTAAGCAGTAGTGAAGATGAGTTTCAAATAGACATTCATACAGACAAAATTTACGAAATTACTATTCGCACCGATGATAGTGATGAATGTGATGATGATATTATCCAACCAACAAAAAGAAGAAGAAGTTCGATAAAATAAATGAAGAGCGGGAAGACATTAGCTAATGTGCCGATTCTCCTTCAATAATCGAGTTTGACATACATCAACAAACACTCCGACTACAAATACCAAGCAATATAAGACATGCAATAGATTATTTTACTTTACATTTGACAAATGAATTATTAGACAATGTAATAGAAAAAATAAACTATTATGGCAGCAAAAAAATGACCAAAAATACTGACTAATCAGTGGCATATTCTAAATGCGAGTGAAAGAAAAAGGGATTGTATTGTCTGTTCTGACAGAAAAGCCAGGAGAAAGGCAGCGAACAACATTTTATTGTAAATCATGTCAAAATCAACCAACTATGCATTTTGAAAATTGTTTTGAACGTCACCATTCTTTATAAAATGATCAAAAATAAATTAATACTATAAATGTATGTCCTTCAATGACCACAAACTTTTGTCAAACCAATTGCATAACATACACAATGAAATCAAGTTTACAGCCGGTTCAGTAGATTGTTTTGAAATCGGTGCCGTCCCAAAAGTGTTAGCTAGTGTACACTGTGTTTCATGCTACAATAGATAAATAATCTTATAATAAATTATCTTATCGCTGAATAATATTCTGACAGAATAAAAGGCAATTAATTCAAGTCAATAGTAATGCATAATTACATTATTTATTTTTTAGTGAATGATTTTTATATTCTAATATTGCCTGAAGTGTGACATCAAGGCCATGTTACGCTCTAACTTCCATACATTATGCTACTGAATCATACTGATTACTGTCAAATTAATATGTATTTGCTGTGCATTCAGACGTTTTACACATAAACTGCAACGTCACTCGTATGTTATGAAGCGGTTTCAGAAAGACCCTGTTATCTAAGATCGTTTTTTTTGACATCGGTGGGGTTTCTAGATTCTCTGTTAAATTTAAACACCCAAATTTATAAGTGAAGTAATAGTCTCCAATCGAACAATCGTACATATTTGAGATTTCGGCAAGAACAATTGAGTTTGAAAAAATTATAATTAACTTCTCGTAGAGCTAAGTTATAGTACATAATCGCAAAAAGAACGAATGAAAATTTTTGTATGTTTTTACGTTCCAAGACCTCCTAAACATTCTGGCATACTTCAGAAAAAACGGATGAAATTAAAACGCGGTACGAGAAATTCCAGCAATTTACCTTAAGGCACGATACCGTGTACTAAAATGAACTAATACTACTGAATCATACTGAATACTATCAAAATGTCATGTATTTGCTGTGCATTCAGGCGTTTTACACATAAACTGCAACGTCACTCGTATGTTATGAAGCTGTGTCAGAAAGACCCTAAAACGAAAAGTTTTAGATGAAATTAAAAATGTGGTTCGAGAAGTTCCAGCAATTTACCTTAAGGCACGATACCGTGTTCTGAAATGAACTAATACTATCAAAATATTTATAAGATAACAAAACTTGAAAGCTAATATTGTGAAGTAAAAAGTCAACTATTTCTGCAACAAACTCGCCTTGTTTTTAATTGTATTGTTTAACTATATTACAGCTCCTGATTCGACTATTCTATCGTTCTTGGACTTCTTTGAATTGGTATTTAGTTTTTAAGTTCAATACAAACAGCGTGGAAGCGTCTTTAATATATAGAGGCGCTTCTAGACGCACTTGTGCCTTGTAAATACTCGGTCTCCGTCCCGTGAGAGGCGCTTGACCGGTTTCTGATTTACAACCGAAGGCAAAGATTATACAGCGCCGGCCGCAGTGCAACGAAGGTCGTTTGAATATGACTAACAAACCGCAGTATGTAATATAATCTAATAAATATATTGAAAAAATAAATTTGATCATGTTGCGTATCAACAACTAAAAAAGTAACCTTCGTACACGGTTGCTATGAAACTACTTGAAATTGATATAAAATCTTGTAAGAGCATGATTTATGATAAGAGTTATGACCTAAACGTAACATGAGACACAGTATACACTAGTTTTAGTCCGCTAGGTTTTATTTTTTAAGTGGTTAATCGTGCACCCTATTAAATCTCAATTTTTTCTATTAATTTTGCCAAAAAACTATTTGTTTACTGGGCTCTCATATGAAAATGCGTAGTTCTTTAAAGAGCTATAGGATTAGCTATAGAATTATAGGATAAATACTACTAAATTGTGATTTGTATATAGTAACTAAAAAGTTTTAAGTTAAATAAATAAATGATTAAATTTACTTTTTGCAATTAATTATTTCTTATTTATTGTAAATACATTAACTGTATTAATGTTAATCGCCATGTCAGTCATATGAGTCTTTCTCATTTATTTCTTTTATTAATACCAATCAGAACACTAATTACAAGTTCTGACGCTAAGAAGTTCTACAAGAGCAGTACCAGATCTTGTAGTAGCAGAAAAAAAATTAGTATAGTACTATGTCAGTCATATATGTTTGACAAAAAAAATAGTATTTTCAAGAAATCTTGGTTAAAAAAGTTTTTTTGTTGGACACGTTTTTAAGTAAATCATCTAATAAAACTCTCGTGGCCCATGTGAACATTATTCTGATATCGTGGCGATTCACGTGCTAAATATTTATATTTATAATATTCTAAATAATAATCATTTTAAAGAGTTGAAAATGTAAAAAAAATCTATAAACATTTAAAATTAATACTAAAAAAGCATATAATTCCAGTAATTTAAATTAAAATCTAAAGGTTTGATTAAATTATAAATATATTACATGGATACGTATGAATCGAAAATTTATAATCTTTTATAAAGTTTAGAAAAAAAAGTTTGGCAGACACTGCTCTTATTAGCATCTTCTAGGAACCGATAAGGCGCCTATTAAATGTACCTGCTGCAAATCATTTTTAAAAGCAAAACAAAGTTCTTTTGCCGTGCCAGTGTTGGAGCCAAAATATTGCTAGATGATTCTATTTCATTTAATTGTGAAATATGAGCACTTACAATTAGTAATTAAGTTGATAAATAAAATAGTAATTATAAATATAAAATATCAGATAGTTTGTATCAGAAGTATCAAAAATTTATGTATGTTCAATGAAATATTAACACGTTAATGGGCCACGGAAAAAACTAAATGATACTTCAACATTTTTTTGCCAAAATTCCTGAAAAAACACTATTTTATGTCCCACATATGACTATATTAAAACTGTTATTTTCCTTCGTGTATGTCAGACGTATATATGTCTCACATGGCTCATGTAGAACTTCATAGCTCCAAACACTTGTGACTGACATGGCTATTAACGTGTTAAAAGACAATTTTAATCTTCAAATTTAAATGAAAATCAAGATGAATGGCAGGAATATATGAACGCTACATATTCATAAAGTTACAAAATTATTAAAAATATTTATACGAAACTCTTAGCTCCAAAATAGAAGTTGGTGTAATAAAATTAAAACCTTTATAAGAGGAATAATAAGTGAATTTAAAGGCATCTATATATAATAACTAGATGACCTAACAGACGTTGTCCTGTACCCATTTCTACAATTTTTTAATATAATATACTAATGTTTACCGTTACCTAAAAATAATAATTATTTTTTTTAAATTACTCTTCACGCGAAAATGCATATACATTTATAATATGAGCGATGTTAAATGTAGAACTGCTTTAAATAAAATGATGAGTATCGATTCCCACACTATATTGGAAATTGAAGTCTTTTAAACGGTATAACATAATCATCACCATAACGTAACACTGGTACTTCATGTTGGATTAAATTAATTTAATTTTTAATTATTCAAGATATCTAAAATTGTATCTTAAATTTCTCCTAATCGATATCGTGAGGGCCGAATTGTATGTATTCATCCCAACTTTCCAATTTGTTGTACTAAAGTAAAATTTTATAAATTTTAAAAACATTGTGGGAAGATTAGTAAAACATGCAAAGAAGTTATATATTGTAAAAAAGCTATATTGAAAATTTAATATCCGAATCTTGTGTTGGCGCCCCCTAAAGCGTGCGTTCGTAATTTTTTCCATTTATTTCTACAATATTGCACATACATCCCAGTACTTTATAATCACATACATCCTAGAAAATTTTGTTAACAAACTTCAGAAAGATTTATCAAAATCCGAATAATAGTTTAGAAGGAGTATACAGTAAGTGCTTGTAATTTAATATGAACTTTAATAGCAATAAATCTCCAATTGATTCTATGTTTTAGTTAGAAAACGTTTGTATGAGAAAAAGAAAAGTCTCTTCGTCTTCGTCTTTTTTCTTGTCGTAAGAACCATCCTTGGACTTCAACGAACATTTTAAAAAAAGAATTGGCCAAATTGGTCCAGGCGTTGTTGAGTTATGCGCTTACCGACACATTTTGCGATTCATTTTATATATAAGATATAATTTCTGTTTTACAGATAATTTTTTTCAATACAATTAAAATACTTTTTGCTCTTATGACTAAGTTTACTGATTGTGAGACTAACCTCTCCTAAGTTGATGAACCCGTGATCTCTAGCCACGAGATTAGCCTTCTCCTTGCCTCCTGGTATGTGCACCGCCCATGTGGATGTAAAGTGTCCCAAATCCTCTGTCCTTACAGGCAAAGCACATAATGTAACCACCAACAAAACACACGCCCAAATCACAATCACTACACCACTGTCGCGCATTGTTTACCTCAACTAGCCAACACACCGCCCTGTGTACCTCGGATTCCACTTCGAAGCCTGTACAGTACACTTTACAGTTTTTTATTTTATTTCTATTCATACAAGCTCGATTCGGAAGATCACTACCCTGAGATCACCTACACAGAATCACTTGTTCGCGTCTTAATGCTGGACCACAGTCTGAGTCATGCGACAACTTGCTTTTAAAAGACATGTGCTCGATTTAAACTTTCAATTAATGAAATAAGTAGCTAATTTAAAATGCTATGTAAGATAATATATCATTAATCAATAATATTGATGAATGTTCTTTAACTGAATATTCGTTTAGCAGGTGATTTATATATTGAAACCGGTATGCTTTGAACAAACGCTCATTTATTATTTCAGCGACGACCTTTGTAAATGCTAACTATTCGTTTAAATCAAAATCAGGTAACGGTTTATGTAAACGTAAGCAAATATTAATTAAAAATATCTGTTGTATTAGTGTCACGGTAAATGTTATATTAATGTCAAGTCTTCGGAAGGTAAGCAATACAACACAAGAAATCACAGAATTATGAGGCGCTTAGATCTGTGCCCATCGCGCGTGAACTCGACTCTCACTATATTCCATCACACAACATAAATAACTGTACTTTAAATGCCATTTAAAAATACTGACGTGTGTCGTTTTTTTTTAGGCCGATGGGGATAAAATGTTATTGTTTCATTTAGCACGTGACAGATAGGCTACAGAAAATGCATACATCCATTTTCACGTGTTTCACTCTTGCACATCTATTTATAGGTTATCCTCAAAGAAAGAACGTAG